TTATAGTGGCACAGTTTGTGCTGACTAAGTCTCAAAAAAAACCCCAAATGTCCTCAACTAATGAATAGATAAGAAAGATGTCTCTTTCTTATATACAATAGAACTACTAACTGTTTATAGACATTATTTGGATATTAGTAAGATAAGTAAAAGCACAGCTATGCCTAACTAATAAAGGGTGCACTTGTGATTAATTTCAGGTAATAACTTGAATCAAACAATTAAGAGGTTTTCGTTAAGCATTAATTACTCTCCCAAGTCAGTAGCACTAAGCATACTCCTCTTCTGATGGAGGGAATCCAGGTGGTGTGACATTTTTGAATGATTAGACTGATTGGGTGTGTCTCTGAGAGTGTTTCCAGAGGGAAATGGCCTGTGACTCAGTGGATTGAGTGGGACTGTTCACCTTAGATATGGGCAGGCATATCCAGTGGGCTCAGGGCACAAACAGAGCAAAACAGCAAAGAACAGGGAGATATTTCTCTCTTTTCTAGAGCTGGGGCAAACTTCTGCTCTTGGACATCAGAACTCCAGGCTGCCACATCCTTGAACTCCAACACATACACTGATGAATCACTGGGTTTTTACACAGAGAAATACACCATCAGCTTCCCTGGTTCTGAGGCTGCCAGACCTGGACTGAGCCAACCTACCAGCATCCCAGGGTCTTCTGCTTGCAGAGAGTCTGTAACAGGACTTCTCAACTACCACTGTCATGAGTCAATTTGCCTAATGAATCTCCTCTCATTGAACTGTATTTTGATTTCTATCTCATCCATCTATAATCTATATCTATATCATCTATCTATATCAACATCATCTATAGCTATATCTGTATGTATATATCTATATCATCCATTTAGACTGACATCCTCCTCAACTTGTTTCTCTGAAGAACCGTGATTACTCTATGAGGTGAGGAACATATTTCTTCGGAAGTGATGCTGTAGGGCTTTATAATTGCAGATTCCTGACAAGATTTTTGAGGAGGGCTTCTCTTGTGCTGAGAGCCCCAAGCAGAGAACTGTAAGACAAATATCCTCAGATGTGATTTATAGCAATTAAGTGAAACACTCTATGTACAATGATTATATATTTCTAGGAAACAAAAAAGGTGGGTCCTTCCAGGAACAGATTTGAAGATCCTGCCCTCCTATGAAATAAAAGGACTAGGTAATTACAAAGAGGATTAAGGATCATAATATATAAGTAGCACACAGGTTCCCCGGAGGTTGACAGAACATCCCGGGGAGAACACAGAGCACTGACCAGCAAGCAGAGTGAACAAGGACTCCTGCAGCACTTGCCCTTGGCACCTAAGCTACCTAAAAAAGCCAGGACAGAAACATCAACCACACAGCTGCACATGAGGTGAATTTAGGAAGTGCAGTATCCCACTGTCCCTCAGAAGATTGTGAGTTGGACACTCCTTCCTCCAGGACATAAGAAGACTGTGGTTAGTAATCTGGGGATATTGATCTTTTGCTTTCTTCCATTGCCTCCTCCCCAAACTCCTACTACAATGGTTGAACCAGTAGCAACAATGTATCCTGGAATTGTTAGGATTTCTTGATCTTTTGCCCTAGATTTGAACCACTTGGAACACTAATTGGCTATTTGTTTGCTTGGTTTTTGTTTTTGGAAGGGTGGCTTTTTGTTGTTGTTGTTTTTTGTTTTGTTTTTTGTACTGGGAAACCAAACTCAGGACCTTGTTCTTGCCAGGCAGGCACTGTGCCACTAAGCTATATCCATGGCCCATATCCTAGATTTGGACATTAATTATTGAATGAAAATATTTTATTCAGGAAATGAAGCAATTATAGACACAGCTTTTATATTATTTCTGTGTGTCACACATATTATAATGTTGGCCTTTGTTTTCCTGGTGGACACTAAATTCCTTGATGTCAGAATGAAGTCTTATTCCTCATTGTATACAACCTCTGTGTCTGACAACTACTTCACCTTATCATTGTTTAATATTAGTTCTTTGAATCAAAATTTTCTTCAGACATGAAATTAAGGAATGAGAAAAATCAGGGGTCATGGACAATGAAATGAGAAGACTACATAAAACTGTATGGAGACAATCTAAAAGTCAGACAGGAATTTGATATTTCATACCAAAGCCCCCACTCCATTTCAGTTTTTATATTTGTGTTGTGGTTTTTACATTATGTATTGCTTACAGAAGAGGTACTATGTCCCAGGGATCATTTAAAAAGAGATGCCTGTGTTGACATAGCCCCAGAAAGATGGGAGCAAATGAAGAAGGTCCAGCTGATTAGAAACAGAATGAAGTAACTATGTTTGCAGTGAAAAACCTATTTTGAGACGTATCCTTTGTTTATAGTAGAGAAAATGTGGAAAAATCTAAAATGTGAAACTGAAAATCATGTAATAGAAAATTCCAAAACCACTAAAATTAATTCAGAAATTCTTTCTTAGAGCTTCTCAAAAATTATTAGATAATGAAATAAGTGACATACTATAAATATGATGTTCAACTTATAGATAGACATACAGGGAGGTAGAGACAGAGATGATGTACTAAAGTACTATGTTCAAGTATCTATCTATATTTTATATACTTACATTTATATATGCATACTGAGATGCCCAAAGACAAAGTGAGAGATATAGTTTCTAAATTACATGTGCTGAATAATCTCTGGATTTGGATTGTCAGAATATACAATTTTATTTTTTCTTTTAGATTTTTTATGATTTTCAAAATAACAAATATGCATTAATTTTAAGATAGAATAAAAAAGAATGAATCATATCACTGGACACATTGTAATAATTAATAAACTTAAACATGTGCTCAGAATTATTCCAAAATTAAATGAACTGTTCACTCCATTATGAAATGAATATAGAATATAAAAAGTAAAGGAGAAAATGTATTTACAACTATTATGGAGGTGGAAGTCCTTATAATATAGACATATAAATCTATACTACCCACCTTCTGGTTCTAACCATGTGAGATACACAGAATACAAATAAGCAGTAAAATATAACTCTGGCCTTATTGTGCACAACTTCCCATTCACACTGGATTGGAGAAAGTGGCTTACTCTAAAGTTTCCATTTCTTGTCCCTCAAGAATTGAGATTGGGCAAATCAGGGATATAGCTCAGTGGCATAAGTGCCTGCCTGATAAACACAAGGTCCTGAGTTCGACTCCGAGTACTATATAACAAAACAAAAGTAAATCAAACAAGCAAACAATAAATAAATAAGTAAAACAGCTGTGGATGTTTGCTCAATGGGGTGTACCCCTGGGTTCAATCCTTAGTACAGAAGAACAAAACAACAACGACAAAAAACTCACTATAAACAAGGTACCAAGATTTTAAATACAGACAGAATGGGTCCTATACTTAAAAAAAAAAAGAGAGAGAGAACTGAGATTGGAAATGGCCTGGAAGGATGAATTCTTCAGAGCGCCCATCATGTCAGATGCAGGGATGACCATGGTGCAGCTTGGATCCCGTAAGTGTGGAAGAAAGCCTCAGTCAGAGCAGGCAGGGCTCCAGACTTGCTTCAAAGCCAGCCACCTCGCTCACTGCAGGAGACACTCCCGTGCCTACTGTGAGACGTGAAGGAGAATGTAAAGTGGAGAAAAGAGATAGGAAAGAAAAGGGACTAATAATTAGCAAAATACCCTAAAATGGCAGGAAAGCAGGAATCCCTTCTCCTCTCAAAGCAAGACTGAGATAAGAAGGACCTGACCGTAAGGACCTGGCCCATTTTTCTGTAATGTTGATGTGTAAGAGAAACGGGTGTCAGAAAAGATCAGACATTAGGGGAAAGGGCAATTTGCCAATAGGCTTGAAACCAGGTTGATCTTGTTTCAACAGGAATCAGTTCACTTCTTCTAATGACAGTTTCCCACAAAACCGAGAGCCCTAGATTTCATTTCATTTTACCAAATGGAGCTGAGTATGGTGGAGTATGCCAGCAGTCCCAGCACTCAGGAGGCAGGAAGACTTCCATAATTTTGAAGTCAACCTTGTCTATACTGGGAGTTCAAAGTCAGCCTGAGCGACATAGCATGACCTTGTCTCAAAAACGAATAAACCACAGTTACAAAAAAAAAAAAAAAAAGAAACAAACAAGCAATTTACCAAATGGAGAGAGAAGAGTGACAATACTTCAATGTCTCCACTCTTTTTCCATTTCTGTGCTGATGATAAGAACAGTTTATCTGACCCAATTGGGTAGAAATACAGTAGAAGATACAGTGTGATGAGAACAAGATAGAAAACTTTAAAGACCACCATTAATTGTAACTTTGAGCACTTCTTTAGCTATTACTAAGCAGAACATGTTACACTAACTTTAATGATGTACATAACTATTTTAAAATCAAATTTTAATATGGAATGAAATTTCTATGATAAAAGATTTTGAATCATCAGAAATTTTTAGTTCAAATAAGGAGTGAAATGCTTTCTGATTATTATAAAAAGATTAAAGATCTGGTCAAATACACCACATAAGTATTCATTGTTTGGGATCTCTGACAAATTAGTTCCAGGATTCCCTGTGGGCATCATGATCTGCAAAGCTCAAGTCTCTTATATGAAAATGGAACAGTGTTGGTGTATAACCCAAGACTCCCTCTCATATACTTTAAATCACAGAGATTAGTAGCAATAAACAGTAAATACTATGATAAGAGTCTTTGCACTATACTCTCTAGGGAAGAGTGACAAGAAAAACAGTGTTTGCATCTGCGGCAGAAACCTATCTTTTAATACCGTAGTTCTATGATTGGTTGAATATGTGGATACACAATCCTCAAATTTGGACAGCCATATATGTATACACATACAGCAGATATAATATATTCATAAGCTGCAATAGAAATAACAAAGTTATGTTCAAAGAAATAAGAGTGCTAGACTGAAGGGGGCACCAATATGGTCATGACCTTGACTTTTTTCCCTCAAAACAGAGCTGAAGAAATTATTTTCTATTCAAGAGACATGGAAGTGAGAAAGATTGCAGTGATCGGCGCGGGGATCAGCGGATTAGGTGCCATCAAATGCTGCTTGGAGGAGGGACTTGAGCCTTTGTGCTTTGAAAAAAGTGATGACATTGGAGGACTGTGGAGATACAAGGTAATTTTATACATATTGACATAAAACATGTTACTCTGTTTCCACTAGAAAGTACAACTCTGATGTAACACATAAATTATTTACCGTTAAGGGTTTTTTTCAAAGTAGAGCGTTTTACATTCAGGAAAATTGGAGACTTCTTGAAGCACATGCCTAGTGCTGTTCCTTTCATTCCCTGATGACCCCAAGTGGAATATCAGAGTATTGCTTATGGATGTTACAGATGAGAAAGCCCAAACCCAGAAACCTTGGATATTTATTCCACTTCCAGTATACTTACTGATCTCCTGAATCTTGGTTCTGAAATTTCTTAATATACCACAAGGTCTGTTATATGTTGTTGTGTGATGCTTAAGAATCTCTGATAAAAGACCTACCCCTATTAAAGAAGGGTGTGTGTCATCGTAAATGTGGTGACACATAACTTATAGAAATGGGCATCGCTCCTAAGTAGTATCGCAGAAGGACAGAAGGAACTAAGTGTAGTGTTGACAAGAATGTGTCTTATTGAAATACAATGCATGCTCTTAAAATACACCCACTTGTTCTCTTAAATACTCATCGCATTTATCTAATCTATGTCAATTATTACATAAACTTCTTTAAAATTCTTTTTTATTTTTATTTACTTTTTATTCTAAAGATAAAAATAAAACAAAATTTTAAAACAAGATAACAGGAGAGTAACAATGGTTAACACATTGTGTATTGCCATCTTTAAATTAATTCCACAGAGTACAAGATACAGGCATTTAATTGTCCAAATAATATTAGCACAAACCTTTCTTTTCAAAGAACAAGGAGAAAGTAGTGCTATAACTATCTCTACTAAGTTTCCCTTGCCTTCTTTTGTCCTCTCTCCTACCTTAGTTTATGTTCCCTTTTGAACAGTTTCTTTTTTTAAAAACATATTATTTAAAAGGAAGAAGAGAAAAAAAGCAGAACAAAACAAAACAGTGTAAGGGTACAAGTAATTCAGAACTACAGAAAAGCAAAAAAAACAAAAAACAGTAAGCTATCACCAGTTAATAGATTACTCGCTATCATCTTAGAAACGGTGTTTCAGGTCACAGGATCAAAGCACACAAAGCGATCATTCAAACAGTGAGACTGCAATCAGTTGTGTTCAGTAATCCAATCCAAAATATTAATATGGTCTTCTATGTAACACACCTAAACACCCTTACTGTTGTATCCTTCAGGGCTCTTTTCTTTCCCTCTCTTTATTACAACAAAATTTACACATTATGGGCTTTATTGCTCCCTTAGATCTTATTACTTTTTTTGTAAGAGAATAAAATCAAGCATGATAAAACAAAGCTGTCCAGTCAAAACCAAGGATAGACATAGCACATGATGTAAAAACAGAGTACAAGGTTATCAACAATGGTTACCATAATGCCTCTTGTATCCTTAAGAAGATTTGTCTATCTCTTTAGGTATTATAAAGTTAAACAAAACAGTAGAAAACAAGACCAACAAAACCTAAACTTTGCAAATCTTACAGCACCTCAAAAGAGGATAATAGTCAAACCAGAATGGGCATCATAGTGAATCTTATTGCCTTTAAAGTAGTTGCCTATACTCTGATACTTGATACTTTCATACAGAGCAGAATAGAGTCTAATCAGTCAAAACAAGATAATGGGGTATTACAGGACTTCAAGTTGATAGGAAATCAAAAAAGTTACTATAATATATCCTGATAGATTTTTTTATTTTTCCGCTTAGTTTAAAAAAGGAATTTAAAAAATTAAATAATTTTTTTAATGAATAAGGGAGAGGATGAGATAAAAGGGGGCATAACAACATAACAATACAGGTTAAAGCATGACACTTTCAGCAACCTAGTGCTTCACCACCAAATACTCTAGAATTTTGAATCTTATTTACTATTTTAGCTTCTCACACTATGGAGACAATACAATGTTTGCTCAGTGCATCTGGTTTATTTCACTTACAAGTATGGTTTCAAATTGCATTCTTTTACTTATAAAAGTCTCAGTTTATTCTTCTTTATGGCTGGATAATACTCCATTGGAAAAAAAAGACCACATCTTTTTTTTATCCATTCCTCACTTGTTGGGCATTTGGGTTGTTTCCAAGATTTAACTATTAGAAACTGTGTTGATATAAAAATAGTTTTGCATATATTGCTTTGGTATGATGTTTTTATTTTTCCGGGAATATATTCAGAAGGCCCTCTAATGCTAGATTTTTGAGGAATCTCCACAATGATTTTCACAGTGGTTGTATCAGACTACACTCCCATCAACAATGCAGAAGGGTTCCTTTTCCCCCACATCCCTGCCAGCATTTGTTATTGATTGATTTCTTGATGATGGATACTCTTTCTGGGATGAGATGGAATCTCAATGTTGTTTTAAGTTGCATCTCTTTAATGACTATTGATGTTGAACATTTTTTCATTTATTTTTTGCTGTTTGTATTTCTTCATCTTTAGAAGTGTGTATTTGTTTCAAATGCCCATTTTATTACTGAATCTTTAACTTTGGGAAGTCTGATTTTTTTTTAGTTCTTTATAAGCTCTCAATAGTAGTCCTTTGAGGAACAGCTAGAACATATCTTTCCCACCTTGTGGGCTGTCTCTTCATTCTCTTGATGATTTCTCTTTCTGTGCAAAAATGTTTTAGTAAGATGAGATCCCAGTTGTTTATTCTTTCTGATAGTTTCTGTGTGATCAGGGTTTTATTCATAAAGTTTTTGCCTACACAAATATCTTCAAGGATTTTACTTATTCTATCTTCCAGAAGATTTAATATTTCTATTTAATATTTAGATCTTTGATCCCTTTTGGATTTAGTTTAGTGAATAGTGAAAGATATAGGTCCAATTTTAATCTTTGGCATGTGTATAATCAGTTTTCCAGCACCATTTATTAAAGACACTCTCTTTCTTCCAGTGAATGTGTTTGGCACCTTTGTCAAAGATAAAATGGTTGAGTGTGTCTAGAGTTGTTTCTGCATCTTTTACTCTATTCCATTGATCCTCAGGTCTGGTTTTTTTTTTTTTTTTTTTGCCAGTACCATGCTATTTTTATTACAGTAGCTTTATAATATAATTTCAAGTTAGTGATTGTAATGCTTCCTGCCTTGCCTTTGTTGCCTAGAAATGCCTTTTCTAGTTTAGGGGTCCTCTGATTTCAAATGAATTTTAGAATTATTTTCTCTAATTCTATAAGATATTGTTAGAATTTTGATCAGATTGCATTAAATCTGTTTGGTTTGAATACAGATTGCATTAAATCTGTATAACAGTTTGGAAGCATGGCCATATTTACTATATTTGTTCTTCCTATCCAAGATCAAGGGATATCTTTCCATTTTCTGATATCCTCTTCAATATCCTTTTTCAGAGTACTGTAGTTTTCAATGCAGAGATCTTTTACTTCCTTCATTAGATTGATTCCTAGGTATTTTAATTTTTTTGGATATTATTGTAAATGGTATTGTTTTCCTAATTTCTTTCAGTGAGTTTGTTATTCATGTTATTCATTGATTTTTGTTGACTTTGTATCCAGGGATGGTATTTAATTTGCTTATTAAATCTAGAAGTTTTTCAATGGAATTTTTGCCTCTAAACTTTAATATGCTTTGTATTTGCATGATTTTTTCCCAAGTCAAGTAATGGTTTTCATTAGTGCCTTCTCTCAAATTAAATTCCTTTAGTTGTGAGGATTAGTTGTGCGGTTTGGCCTTCCACAGTTTCTCTTTTTAACTCCTTTTGTTTGCATTAACTTTGTTTGAGTTCTGTTTATTGCATCCATGTCCACAAGCTTCACTTGTTTTGACAGCACCACTGGTATCAGGGCATCACTTTGGTATCATCACTACGAACAGGATTCACCTGAGTTCCTTTCATAAAGAAGAGAGTCCAATGGCCTCACTTACGTCACTTGAGCAAGTGACATAAAACTGATAAACGTTGTTTTTCAAAGAAAATGGAACCAAACATCATAGGTTAGATCATGACTAACACATTATTTGCTGTGTTTCTGAGGACTAGAAGCCACGAGATTTTTTTTTTTTTTTCCTGCAGGAGACACCTGAAGATGGACGGGCTGGAATTTATAAGTCTTTGACCTCCAACACTTCCAAGGAGATGACAGCCTTCAGCGACTACCCTTTCCCTGACCATTATCCTAACTATCTGCACAACTCCAGAATGATGGAGTACCTCAGGATGTATGCAAGGCACTTTAATCTGATGAAACACATCCAATTCCTGGTAAGCAGTTAAAGCCCTGACATTGCTTGTGCATTGCTCAAGGCAGAGAAAGGAGGGCATGGTTTCTATTCACACTTTTCACCACAGTTCTGAGAGAATTATCAAATTCCTTCTCATTCCCAAGATTAGTGATGAATTAATACTGCCCCCATCCAGGAACATAGTCTACTGATAAATCTACTTTTAAACTAATAGTAATAAATAAATGCCTTATTAAAAAATAATGTGTTATACCCTCCAAAGTGATTCAATCCTTAAGAATTAATGCTTTTATGAAGTAGTTGTGCATAATGATCCGAGGGAACCAGCAGCTATGAGTAGAGACAGTACCACCCACTCTATCTGTCAAAACAGAATTTCAGGGGAAAATAGAAGTCTGAGAATAATGTTCTAGAACTGAAGCTGCCTTTGTGCCTGTTCTCTCAGTCTAAGGTGTGCAGTGTGAAGAAGCGTCCTGATTTTTTATCCTCGGGCCAGTGGGATGTTGTAGTAGAAGCTGACGGAAAACAGAAAACCTATGTCTTTGATGGGATCATGATCTGCAGTGGCCACTACACAGACAAGCACTTGCCTTCACAGGATTTTAAAGGTACTTAACTCAAAAATGTATAAGAAAGTCTTTGAATTCTAAGAATCTTAATTTCTGTGCAATCATGGACAGTAGTCAGACATATTTACATGGCACAGTTCTAATACAAAAGAATATGTGCTAATTTTCAGAACAGCCAGAGTAGATCTGGTACTAGAAATCACACTGGAACTGGACACTGAGGATTACTTAGGCAAACACAGCCTGAATGGGATGGGAAGTAGGTGTAAAAAGAAGCTGGTGTAAAAGAGCCTGGAAGCAGAAGGAATGAACACAGTGTAGATGTAGTGGGGAGACAATGAATGGGCAGGGAGCTCTGCAGAGTCCATAAAACTTCACTACATGGTGGTGCTGGTGGTGGTGGTGGTGGAGGAGATGATGGTGGTAGAAATGGTGTGTGTGTGTGTGTGTGTGTGTGTGTATGTGTGTGTGTGTGTGTGTGTGTGTTAGAGACGAGCAGGTGAACAATCATACTTGTATTTTATAAAGATCAGTCTTGCAGTGGTATAGAATCTAGTTGATAGAGAAGAAAGAACAACGCAAGAATACCAATAGGATTTTCTCACTCCATTAAAGAGACAATGATAGAGATTTGAGTAAAACAATCGTGGTAGAACTGAAAGAAAAGCACAAATTTCAGATATTTTAGGGTCATGACAACACTCAAGGAGTGAATGTGGCAAGACATTGTAGGCTTTGTATCAACATGCATAGTATTTTTGAAATGTAATCAAATTTTCTTTTGAAATGTTTTGACTCCTCTAATATCTATGGATCACATGGTTTAAATGTAGCAGCCACTCGCCCAGTGTCACTAGTGAGCACTTGAAATGTAACTGATACAAACAAGATATGTTTCTCACATAAAATAACCCCAGATCAGAGGTGGCAAATCTGGAGCACTCAGGCTTCAGGGGGCTGATTGTATTATTGAAAACTCTAAAAGATTCCGCATCGCTGTCTTAGATTGTTAGGCTATATAGTACAAATATATAAAATATCTCTTTAAGACATTTGTGTTTTGGTGATACATTAACGTTTTAGAGTACAGTGCAAGTTAAGCAAAATACGTTGTTGAAATTAACATCACTTTTTACACATCCTTCAGATGATCTTTCTAAAGCTTACAGGTGCACGTGAGGTGTGTGTTAGATTTCTCAGCATGGCACCATTTTTTTGATTGCTAAGGATCACTACATATTTGTGCATTTCTTCACAGAATCCCCAAAAGTGAAGAGATCTCCTAATATTTAGAAAAATATAGTACCTTCTAACATGATGAGAAGTATCATACTGAGAAAATTTACAATTTGATGTATAAAAAGGGACATTAGTGTGCTTTGAACATGAGTATGATCTTGGCTGTATCATCACGGCCATTGAGTATTTTGCTCCTTTGTTATCTCATTCTATAATATTGGTAGCAATTGGCAAACAAACAAAGATGGTGATACAAATAACAAATACAGTATTTCAAGAGCATAAGTACGTTTTGCCAGTTTTTCCCATTCCTGTTTGTGATGTGGGGATTCTAATCCTTCCTTGCAGGGATCCAGAAGTTCAGAGGCAGATATCTCCACAGCTGGGAGTACAAGCAGCCAGATGATTTTGTGGGGAAAAGAGTGGTTGTGATTGGCCTTGGAAATTCGGGAGCAGATGTGGCTGGTGAAATCAGTCGTGTTGCTGAACAGGTTTGGCACTGTACACTGATTCTGTGCTTTGGTATAAGTTTGACTCTTGCAATATGGATCATGTGAGTTTAGACTTTTACTTTTGCTTTATCCGTGGTAGCCCAAATTTGTCTTCTACCTCAGCAAATGAATGACCCAAATTTTTATCAGACTAAATGAGTGAAAGAATATCAAGACCAAAAATGGTATCTTTTCACACTGCAATACATTGGAATCCTAGGAAAAAATAAAGCAATAAATCTATAGTCAGCTTGTTAGAATTGTCAAACTATATGAGGGAAATATGAATGTTCAAACTGAAATCACAGAAAATAGTACAATTTCTATTTGGAACCAAAGTTTTAAACAGAGACTAGCATACATCAACGTAAGTAGAAATGCCCTGCCGATCTCTGAATGAGGTGCTGGTAGCAACATAGAACTTCTGAGGGCTCCACCACCCATTGAAGCCACTTCCCTCCACACAGAACACGGTAGATACTCAAAGAGCATCAGGATGCCCTTCCCACAATTCACAATTAAGTTTTTATTGTGTTTCACGATTTATAAAGAAAAGACGAATCAATTATTTCCTACCTAAGCATGTCAGGCTTTCTGGACGAGATGAAGTTATACATTTTTGTGGATCTTTACAATTTAATGATATGACAGTCTAGTATTGTTTTCATTTAAAAATTGCAACTGTTTTTCAAGGTCTCGGTTAAATGACTCAAAATAGCAATAAATTTCTCAATACGTATAGTATGTTTTTCATTCACTTTGTATATTTTCCACATAGAACTTGTCATTTCACTTTTGTTATAATTCTCAACTTTGGATTTTGTCCTTCACCTTGAAATACAGGACGATAGCACTTAGAAGGAACACAGATGCCAACTACTAACACCCCGTGTAACTCACTGGTGTTAACACTTCTTTTTACATCCTGGGATGGAGATTCCATCTAACAGAACAAGAGGAAATATTGCAATGGCAATAGATCCATAACACATACTAATACTAGGTGAATTAGATGGACTTGAAGTCACATGACCCGTGTACAGAGTGAGAGAGGAGGAAAGGGTTCAGACAGGCTGGGCAGGTATGTGAGGAGTTCATCGTTTTCCTAATGACAACTTTTTAAGAGTACTTCTTTAGGATCTGTGATTAGGTTGATGCAAAACAGAACTGTTCCTGGGCATCCACTGTTCTCTTGCAGGTTTTCCTCAGCACTAGACAAGGTGCATGGATATGGAGCCGAGTTTGGGATAATGGGAATCCTACAGATGCCACACTTTTCACTCGTTATAATAAAACAGTGGAAAAATTCATTCCCACATTTCTGCTCAACAGATTGGCAGAAAATAAATTAAATTCAAGGTTTAACCATGCCAATTATGGGCTGTACCCCAAACACAGGTAAGGCCAATGGTTTAAAACAAGAAAATGATAATTTTTAAAGCTTTTAGTAGTCAACAGAACCTATAAGCTATTTGAAGGGAATAACTACACTATCTTTTGATAGAATTTTTTTGGCTGGGAATATTTAAACTATTTCCTTCTTATTGGCAGCTGTGTATTACTGCACCAAGGCAGAAGAAAGAGGTGGATGGGGTGCAGAATAATGAAGTAGGATTTAAATACTTGTCTTATTTGGCACTCAAACCACGTCACTATGCCTCCTGCTACTTCCTCTTTTTGCTGTCATCTCTCAACTACTTGATCTTCCCTCTCTAAACTTTAATATTTCACACTTACTCTCAAAACCTGCCATCAACTGGGCCTATTTCACTGTTTGTGTGGAAAATGACCCCATACTCAAGGGGCACAGCCACCTGGAATCCCCAGCAGCACTAGCTTCCTTCCCACTCTATTTGCATGATCCGTACTTGTGGGACCATCCAGACTACTACTTGGAGCCACAGTGCTGCTGGATGTTATTGCAGAATCTATTCCATATTTGCAAATGCTCACTTTTTTCCTCCCATCTCAGTGCACCCTAGGCAGGTTTGGATCTTACCTAGTCTTCTCATTCTATGTCTCCTTCTTGTGACTCTTTTACCTCTATGTCCCTTCCTCTATTGGATTTCTCAATCATTTTCTTCCACTAACACTTGAAATTTAGTATTATGCAAATTTAAAATATCCATCCTTGGCTCTCTCCTTTTTAACCATACAGAGATCTTTGTATTAAATATTTTAATGTCTAGGCAAAATAAATTGAATTAACGTACAAGTGGTGAAAAGAGCTTAGTGTTAAAAGAAATGTATATACAAAAGTAGCCTCATGACTAACTGAAATAGTATGTGTGACTCTCTTTCACAGAGAGAAATTATTCAGACTATGGAATATATTTTGTCAAAAGTAATGTCGGCCTTGGAATATGACTGTTTGCCTCTTATTAATTGATCAACCATAAATTGTAGATTTCTAAAGCTTGTATTTCATTGAGCACATTTTTATCATTGAATTCTTATTTTATGGAGTTGCATTTTGTAGGTCCTTAAAATACTAAGAATCAATTAATATCTTCTTTATGTGATATTAAGAGCAAACAAATATGTTAAAAACCAAAACATTATTCCTGGTGAACTGTTATTATCAAGGAAATGTTTCATATGTATAATCCTCTGATTAGCAAATCTGATCTGCTGTCATTATTATAGTTTTACAGATTAGTAAATTGGCACTCAAATGATTAATGACATCTTCAACGGCTTAGAGAAAGAACTAGTGTTGAGACCAAAATATGACTCTGAAAAATCAAATTTTTGATGAATAAATTATATTCCCTTTCTAGGGATGTCATGAAAAAGTATTAATATTATTGATGAGTATGGTGGTTTCCTGAGTATTTACCTACCACAATGCATTCATGAACATGCATGCTCATTTCTTCATATTATACTCTTTATCATGCAGAGTTTTTAGCCACCAAATTGTTTTCAGTGATGATCTGCCAAAGAACATAATTACCGGGAGAGTACTGATGAAACCAAATGTGAAGGAGTTCACTGCCACATCTGCCATCTTTGAAGATGATACTGAAGAGGAAATAGATGCCATCGTCTTTGCCACAGGCTACGCCTGGTCTTTCCCTTTCTTGCAGGATGAGTCAGGAATCCTGGACAGCCTGAACTCCTTGTTTAAATTTGTCTTCCCCCCTCAGCTAGAGAAGCCAACTCTAGCTTTCATTGGCATGGTTCAAACGGCAGGTGCCATAATGCCCACATCAGAACTCCAAAGCCGATGGGTTGTTCACATATTCAAGGGTATGTACTGGTCTTCTATGTATGAGTAGACTGGGCTCCCAACAATGCACTAAGATGAGAGGGATACTCAGAGGACTCTTGTTCAACTATTTTTGTCTCTTGCTTTATCAAAGGACTTGAAATTTCGCCATTAGAAATCAATTTCTGTGTCTTTTGAGACGAGGTCTCACTATGCACTTCAGGCTGGCCTTGGGCTCATTTTATATCCCAGTCTGGTCTCAAACTTGCAACAATCCTCCTGCTTCAGTCTCCTGAGTACTGGGATTACAGGTCTGGGCCACCATGCCCGGCTAGAAATGGATTTCTGTTGGACTCTCTAGTGATTGATTATTAATTTCTGAAAGAATTCTATTAAAAGTGAAAGCATTCAAAGAATAAAGAAAAGTGCAGAAGTATCATTAAGTTGCATTTGACTTTTGGGTAGTCATTTTCTTGTTTCTTTCCAGCAATAAATTCATTTACAGCGAGACTTCATGGAAATACAAATTGGCCAAGCTAGAAAAACAAATGAGGGAGAACCTACTATAAACTTATTTCAGAAACACAGTGAAGTTATTGTACTTTACTGGTGAACTCCAAGCATTTGGTGTTTTTAACTCATTGCCCGAGTCCTTAACCAGATCAATGTTTCTGAGCAAAACAAGAGTTGTACCATAAAAACAAAAGGGAGCTACTTTCCTTTATCCTGTTCCCCCAAGGCTTTTATTGTGAATTTCATATAGACCTTATCATTTTAATGTTGTCCTTCAAAATCATTCTATTTATTGATCTTCCCAAGTCTTCCTGACAGGCCTCAAATGTCTGTCTCCTTGTCTTAGGACTGAAAAGATTACCCTCAGAGAGTGACATGATGGCGGACCTCAAAAGGAGGAGAAAGAAAATCACAAAAAGGTAAGAAATCTAAGTGTTGGCTAAAATATATAAAACACACTTATATTGATTGTTCATATTTATATAATTTGCAACTAAATATTATCTGAGGAAAATTTCAGTTATCTGGTATTATGGTGAACAGTATTCCATATGTGGGGAACATGTATGTATACAAACTTCCTAGCTGTGGAATATGGATCTTCTCCCTGTTCAACAACCATAGATTGTTGTATCTGTGCAAAGAACAGTCTCCAAAGTCAGAACCACAGGGCAGCATTCTTCCCTAGAACTGAGGTCATAGAGACTATGCGAGAAATTAGCTAAATCCAGAATCTGTAGAAAAGAAAATGTATATTCCAGTAAAGAATAGTTTAAGAAGATACATTTTATTTCACTTTGTTAACCTCCTATTTTTTGCAATAAACTTAAATTCAACAGAATCCTTAAGGGGACCTTTAGAAGAAATAATCCAGTAATAACTAAACCAACAGGCTAAACTGTAAAATGAAATAGGCCCAGTGAATATTTATTATTTCTATCACCCTATGTATGTATTAAACTTTACTCTTACACATTTATATTTTGTTGTTAAAATAAATAGATTTTTAATTAATTATTTCTGGGCTTTATAAAGGTCATGATTTATGTAATTTTTCAATCAGAACCTCTTTTTGGTTACAAATTTTATGTGATACTCATTGGGTAGTATACAAGAAGGCCATGAATTTTTTATGTATGTATTTATGTTCTTCCCTATTTTTGCTTGAGTAAAGCAATACGGGAGATGTCAGTAGTATTGTTTACTTGTCTGAACAATCATCTTTTAATTTCAATAAGAATTTCCCCCAAATTCATAAATTTAGCAATAAATGGCTATTACTATCTTCCTGCATCATGTTTTGTGTTTCTTTCTAATTTCTCCACTTAGATACTTGTATCATTCATATCTCATTATGTTTGTCTTAAATGATTCATACTCTTCTCAAATTTTGAAAAATCTTGATATGTGTTGTACAGTAATTCTAATTTCAATTTTCTTTGTCCCAGGAGTGATTTTACAGAGTGGTTTTTAATTTCCAAGTATGTAGAACAAGTCATTTAAAGTTAGTCAAAATAAAATTCTAATTCTCCTTAGAGGGAACAATTTACATCCAGAATTAACACATGGGAAAGATATTTCTGCAGTTTGGAAGAATGAAGTGAGCAGTGCATTTCACAGTCTTGTCAACTCACATTTCTCAGTGTCAGATTTGTGCAATAAAACTAAATTCTGTTCTAAAAGGAAAATCAATATCTCAGACTCCATGCATTCACATTTATTTAACATTCTCTATCCACTCTATTAGGTGCTTTGAAAACTTTAAGACTTCAGGGATTCATATCTTGTGCTTAGACATTGTCATATCCCAAAGAAGTTAATTAAAGCAAATATGTGAAATTAAGATTTAATGAGTAAAAGATAATAAAGTCAATAAGCAAAATAGAACCAAAGTCCTTTGGAAACACCAGGGATAACAGTGACTGAAATCAGCCTAGGATTTCCATCATTTTCTTTTTTGTTCTAGGTCTGTGCAAAGTGCAAGAGATGCACGCCGCGTGCCGTACATGGACTATATGGACGAAATTGCTTCTGAGTTAGGGGTCAAACCCAATCTTCTCTCTTTCCTCCTCTCGGATATAAAGCTGGCCAAGGAGCTTTTCTATGGGCCCTGCACTTCATACCAGTACCGTCTACAGGGGCCTGGGAAATGGAGTGGGGCCCGGAAAGCCATCCTGACCCAGAGAGACCGGATCCTCAGACCCCTTAGCACACGTGTGCCTACACCCTCTAGCTATCCTTCCTCTAGTGTGTTCTGGCTCAAGCGTATATTTGCTGTCATTTTTCTCTCTGTTCCCATGTTACTTATCATCCAAATGATACATCATTAAGCTCACATGACAGTGATGTGTATGCAAATGGAGAACAAGATACTGTTATTTGAATTATATCAAAATGAAGGCAATCAATTATACCAGGAAAGCATTTAATTCGACAGGCTAACTCAAATATGACATTTTAACTTCTTTAGTTTTCCATTTCTTTTTTCTCACATAATTTTTGTGTTTGCAGCAGACAATATTTACTTTCTTCATATGAATTTGGTACATGTATGTAATAATACATGTTAATTCCTTTTTTATCTCTTTCCCTCCCTTCTCTATTTCTTTATGCCCTTCCTCTTAGAGAAAGATCCATCTTCTGACTTTCTATTATTTACCCTTTTGTTTTGCTTTTTATGTATACTTTGGGTTTCTCATATTAAAAAAACTATGTGATGTATAAATTTGTGTGTCTGTTTTATTTCATTTAACTTTATGGTCCCAATTTGCACCCATTTTCCTTCATATGACTCAAGTTTATCTTTCTCTATGGCATTTAAATGAAAGCAACATTATTCTAATAATGATTGATCTGAGTGTTTTAAATGGAGGATGTTGGATAATATGTATCACAGGTAGGCCTTCCATTTGAGTTTAACCAAACTCCCACCAGAAAGGAAATCTTACAGAAGCAAATGACTAGGCTTATGAGATAAAATCAGACCAATTGTTAAAAACAGTAATAAATAAGTTAGGTATAAGAATGTGGGAAGGGCGTCTACAGGGGATTCTTATAAGCATATACTACATTGTAACAGAAATGCCCTCCGCTGGTATAGGAAACAGAACATGGCAAAGCTGGCTGGAGAAATGGACAGAGCCTGTCATTTGCAAGATCCTACAGTACCAGATGATTCTCAGGACCCCATTTGCAGTATGGAACTTCTCACGGGCTCTCACAAGATGTGGTGGGCATAAAAGAGACCAGAAACTACTAGGAAACTGCTAGTAGGACTCACTGTAGTCCACTCTGCATCTCTCCTCCTGGATGCAAAGCATATGTTTATTTTTACTTTTTATCGTTTTCTCTTTGTTTGGCCTAAATTCATGCTACAGAGATAGTTCTTCCCTAACCTGTTTACTCCTCATTTTTCACATAAATTTTGGCATTATTTTTGGCTTGTCTCATCCCATTCTTTGCTCAAGTCAAGAGGGATCTGGAATAATGTGGTGGTCAAGCCATTTCTACTCTCAGTCTAAGTGTGGCTAAGTGTAATAAGATCCCCCTCACGGTGACCTGACTCCTCATCTTGCCCTAAATCTTATTACCATGAAATAGAATGGTGGACATAATGTTATTTTGAATAATCACTGTTAAATATTATTTTCATGCACAGATGTTTCAATAAATATCAAGAGCATAGTCTCAGAAAGTGTTCAGCGTGAAGAAACTTTTAAGGTAGTCCTGTGAATTGTGGATTCTTACATGGCAGCATACATCACTGTGGAAGGTGCTCTCTTGTAGAATTCAAGTACTGGGCACAAGAAGTAGCTCTAAGGACAGTCATCACACTTCCAAAGATCTGAGCCCAAAGGGGTCTCACTCTGTGAGCCATGATTATTCTTAGTATGTTATTCTTACCATATCAGTTTTGCTCCGTTCTTTGTGGCTGATCGAGGCTTCAATGCTTTAATACACTTCATTTGACCAAGAGTTTTAACCTGAAGAAATAATTTTCTAAAGATTTCTAAAAAAAATCTTAATTTCTAAAGCATTCTGCTGAATGCTTTAGAGAAAAATGTGGAATATATATGAATAAAAGGAACTAAAATTGTAAGATATTACCATTTATAAGACAGATAAATTTGGACACCATGTACTGGTTGACTGGGGGAGACCCAGATGCCAGCCCTCCCCTGAAAGTCTACACTATTCACAGACTTCAGGAGAGGAGAGCAAGAAATCAATAAGATGATAAGACCTCGTGTGAAGCAGTGCCATATGCAGGCTGACAGGGAGAGCCAGATGCCAGCCTCTTCTGGTACATGGGCAGGGAGACAAGAAGAGCCAACATTCTTCCCCTACTCCTGCCATAAGCAACAGGCTGATCTGGAGAAACACTGGTTGTGATGATAGCTAATGAGGTAAAATACAGGTTAATGTTTGTAATGTTCAGTCTTTCAGTAAGTGAATGCTTAAAGCTGGTAGTCTGATCTTCTGTTCAGATAACAATACGCGATGTAGCATATATGGGGGATCTCCTTCTGAAGGTGGTGGCTATCGTTAGTTCTCTATTATCTTGTTTCAAAATCTTGTATCATTCTCATTGTTTTGTTTGGTTGGGTTTTATTCTGCTTCACCTTGTTTGATTATGTTGCATCTGATGGCATAGGCAGCTATTTCAAAGATAACAAGATATATTGTAGTAGCCATTTTGGACTTACTGTTATCTTGTTTTGAAGATCGGTATTGCATTCATTGTTTTATTTTTATTGGTTCTATTGTGTTTCTGTTTTGCTTCATTTTACTGTGTCTGCAGCTATTTTGAAGGCAACAGGAAGCATTATGGCAGCCATTATTGATTTCCTATTACTTTGTTTTGCATTCCTGTGTCATCCTGTCTTGTTTTGATTGGCTTTATTCCATTTTGCTTGGTTTTATCTCCCTAAAATAAAATTATTTCCTTCTGAAAAAAGACAGATGAAGTTGAGAAAAATTTATTTAAAATAAATGTATATATCATTTAGAATAATTAACTGTCAGTTTGCCCGTCTGTAAGCCAGTGCAAACCATGCAGGGCCTGGAAGGAGAAACAAGCCAATTAACCCTTCCTGTGAGCTGGAAGAAGCCTTTTTGGGGTTGAGAGAAGTAATAAGAAGCCAATTCATCTTTCCTGTGACTGAGCACAAATCACATGTGGCCCTTGGATGAGAAACACACCAGTTCACCCTTCCTATGAGCTGTTGCAAACCATGCAGGGCTAAGGAGGAAAAACAAGCCAATTTGCCCTTTCTATGAGTCAATAAAATCCGTACTAGGCCTTGGAGGAGTAACAAGAAGCCAATAAACCCTTCCTGTGAGTGCAAGGGCTGGGAGACAACAACACTGTCTCTCCCCACTCCCCCATAAGCAGCCAGCTGATTTCGGGGACAGGCTCACTTGATAGCAGATGAGATAACAAAGCAACTTAATGCTTGTATTGGTTTATTAACTTTTCAGGCCTAAGGCCAAATGTCTATTAAGAGGATAACAACATGCAATATAGCAAATATGGGGGATTTCCTTCAGCTTGTTTTTGAAATCCAATATTTTTCTCAGTATTTTTGTTACATTTTATTGTTTTGTTTTATTCAATATTCTGCTTTGATTGGTTTTATTCCATTCTGTTTTGTTTGATCTTAATGTGTCTGAGGGTATGGGCAGCAATTTTAAAGATAACAAATTATGGCAGCCATTATGGATTTCCTATTATCTTGTTTTGAAGTCCTGAATCACTTTCATTTTTCTGTTCTGATTGCTTTATTCTGTTTTGCTTTGTTTTAATTTTATTCTCTTTACAATAAAAAAGAATAATTAATTCTTATTATCTTTTTGCCTACCAACAACCATGTAACTGGGCTACCAATCATTTTACTCTCCTCAAGTCCAAAATTTTTTTTTAAACACCTGATTTTTAAAACATATCAGTTTAGAGCAGTAGACAAATGTGAGGAATAAGGAAGGTTAAAACGTTCCGGTCATCTGGAAAATTCTATCACATGACAGTGTTACTCCATCGTGAATTTGACTTAGACATGTAAAGCATAATGGCTTGGAAGTGTATATGGTCTACTTTTGCCTTGAAATGGAGAATCAACCGAAGGAAAAAAATCTCTAAACAAACATCTCTAGTTCATGGTGAATTGGATAGTTTCATAATACTGATAGACTTTTTCTCAAATGTAGTTGTAGATGTGACAGTATCACAGGAAGACCTCCCTTGTGTTGCTTACTTGATCTGTCGGAAGACCCCTGGAGACATCTCCCCTTTCTTGTCTTGGTAGTGTGAATTGTGACAGTCTACTTGATGAGGAATCATCAAGTAGATTCCTCATCAAGTAGACTGAAGACTTGTCACATTCGTGAAGACTCACTTTATTTATTTGCCCATAAGGATACTCAAGTGTGACACAGAAAGTGTGCATAAGTTTCAAACCTAAGTAGGAACATTAATAAAATATTCTAGCATCAATAGAACTTAAATATTAATAAAGTCACTTGAGCACACGCTGAAAGCTTAGACTTGAAGATGTGGGAGAATCGTCATCTATCTCAGCAACTTTCTAGCATGCAGAGTGCTCTTTTTACAGGACCTACATGACATTCTCAAAATGACAGCACTACTGCTGGTCCAGGTCAGAGAGTGATGGTCAATGTGCAAGGAACTAATTCCCAGAACCTGCAAATGTGCTACCTCCTACAGAGAAAAGAACAGTTAGCAGATGTGATTAAGTTAAGCACCTTGAAAAGAGGTGATTTCCTGAGTTACCCAGCTGGGCCACATGCAATCCAAAAGGCCTGTGTAAAGAAAAAGGATGGAAATCAGCACTTCCCAAAAATTAGCCAGGCTGGAATTTGGGGGAGCAACCAAGAAAGCATCGAGCCATTCTTCCTAGTAAGTGGCAGGAGCCATGGTGAGCCAGGAGAGAATAAGTGAGTGTATCCCATAAGCCTACCAGCACATGGGCTGAGAATCAAACGTCCTGTGGTGCCTCTCTCCCATTAGCAGCTGGATGGTTTTGAGGTCAGCCAGAGTTGATAGCAACTAAAGTACATACAGCAACTAAATGCTTGTATTGTTTGGTTGATTATGCTGACCTGGGACCAGAAGTCTGAGCATCTCTTGGAAGGATGACAGTATGCAGTACAGCAAATATGGGGGATTTCCTTCTAACTTGTCTTTGAAGGCCAATATTGTTTTCACTGTTTTGCTTTGTTCTGATTGTTTTGCTTTATTCAATATTTTGTTTTGATTGGTTTTATAGTGTTCTGTTTTTGGTTTGACTTTGGTATTCCTGATTGAATGGAC